CACGCGCGCCCCGCGCGGAGCCTCCTGGGGAGGGCGCTGCGGGGCGGCCCCGGGGCTCCTTTCCTCGCGCTCCCTCGCGGCCGTCCCGCGCTCAACGCAAACTCGGGTGAAGTTGAGGTCGCTCCCCAGCCCCCCTCGGGGTCCGTTCGTACCGGACAACCCGCGGCATCGCGGCCGAGCGCAGGGTGGGAGTGCAGTGTCGCGTCTGCTGTCCCAAGGCGCCCCGCAATCGCGCTGAGGAGGTGCGACCCCGCGCCGTGCCGCCGAACCGCCCTCATCCCGCGCGGAGCCCTGCGGGCGCACTGCAGGTGGGATTCCGCGCCGGCCTGGGGATCGCCGCCCCGTCCTTCTGTCTCCGCGGCCGCCGACAGCGCCTCGAGGTTTGAAAAGGGAGTGGGGTTCGATTCTGTGCCTTCCTTTCTCGTTGGCAAAGAGTTTATTTCTTTTTTCAAAGTGGATTTTGCAAATATTCCACAGCCGAGCCCCAGAGTTTGTAACAGAACGGAGTTCCTTGGTGCTCTTGTTGCTGTCTCACCATTTGTGTGTTTCTAATGGGATGAGTGGGAACCATCTGCATCCCCGCTCAAACAGCGCGCCAGGCCCAGCTCTGCATCACCGCCCTGTGCCCCACAGCTCTGCTGAGGACGGGGTTTCCATGGAAGACCCCGCAGTGACCTCTCGGTTTGGCAGCCTGATAGGAGGCTGTGTGTGTGAAAGCATCCACGTAGGTGATTTCACTTAAATTATTTCATAGCCTTCCCCAACCGAATGCTAGCAATTTTTATAAGCAATCTAAAAGTATTTATTGGTGCAAGCAGATGCTTAGTTTTGAAAGATAAAATAGGATAACGCTACCATAAAATACTCATTTTTGCTCTTCTGCCGTGCATAACTCACTCCGAAGCGAGCAGCTCTGCTCCAAGCGCTCAGCACTGCTTGGCCCCCTCGCAGCCCCACGCTGTGAAATCCCACCAGTGTGCACCTGGGGTTCTGTGCTGTCCGCTCCAGCCGTGGAGCTCAGCAGGGCCAGCGCTGGGGCAGTGCTGCTGTGAGGCCAAGAGGGGACGGTGCCTGATGCCAGCATGGCGCTGGGCCTGGAGCACAGTGACCAACCGGGATTTCCTTCTTGCATTTCACCCAGCTGGGTTTGTGATTCAGTGATTCCGTGTCTGTCTTGGTGCCCAGGTCAGAAGATTGAAGGTACTTCCAGTGGGGCTTGCATTCTTTCTGTCTCCCTCTCTCCTCTGGTTGCGTGGAACAGTACTGCACCTCTGGTTGGGGTAGTTTGATTATTAGTAGGTAATTATGAGGAATTGTATATTACTGTGAGGAGCTGTGTATGAAAAGCCCTTGTAAGATGGTTTTATTGCCAGTGTGATGTGTTGAGATGCTGCCAGGCGTCATGGGGCGGGGGGATAGAGCTTATCTCTGGTGTGAACCTTTCCACCTGGGTCTGCTGCTCTGCACAGGGAGAACGGCCACGACCCACAGATGGAGCAGAGCCGGGCTCCAGTGCGGCCTGGGATCGGCAAGGAGCTGCTATTGTTCTCCTAGCCATGGCTGGAATCCAAATGCTCCACGCTGGGCATGGTATTTGTATCAGTGGCGTTTTCAGTCTCAACATGCAAGATGAGAAAGTCACTGTTTTAAATGGTTACTCCTTTGGGAAGGGGAAATTGAGAAGATGGACTTCTAGCAGAGCACTAGTGAGATGGCACCCTATCCACAGTGATAAATGGGAGCATTAACAAGGCTTGGTTGAGAGGAACCCTACAGATTTATGGCTTCCTGTCTCCACCAGCAGATGCCATTATGGCTGACAGAACAGAATGCCTTTCAAGAGGGAACTGGGATGGGATTATGAAGAAGGGGAAAAAAAAGCCAGCAGAATCTGGTGTCCATTTTTATCCACTGGTCAGAATCTGCCGATAGCTTTGAATAGAGCCGAGACTGTACAGCAATTGTGCGCTCCCTCCTCCTGTTATTTATAACTACGTTGGTGAAGGTCATTTAGCATCTCTTTTAGCACAGGAAGAACCCATAATATTTACTGAAAGCATTTTTGCACTCTTGAAAATTAGGGATGATAAAATGAAGTGATAGCACTGGAGGCTTCCTTGGCTTATCCAATGGAATAATCCCGATGGGTGTTTAATGTTTACTTTGGAAATGTAGCAAATGATTCTGAAGCTGTATTGAATTTTATCTATTTTTATTACATAGCAGAATAATATTTCCCTTTCCTGACAAAATGTTATGACCAGTAATAGCAATGGCAGTTATGCATGTTCAAAAAAGAGTAATCAAATCTCATGCTTCAGGGCACGAGCTGAGCTCCCCGCCGGGATTGGGACGATGTTCTCCCCCCGACCTTCACTGCTGTGCAGTCAGCTAGGTGCGTTTTCAGAGCATTTCCAATGTCTTGGTTAGGTGCAGGTTACATGGAACAGAAGCGTGGTCTGGGACAGTGAAAAATCTCCATCGCTGTGGCTCTGGGGTATTTCTGGTCTGATTTTTCAAAATAACGCATGTGATTTGGTGTGCATTACAGGAAAGTTTGCAGGCATTTCCACTTGCAATAGAGGGTCAAATGTGATGTGTATATTTGATTTCCCATCGTGAGCAGTCACAGAGACCTCAGCTGTTCACCTCAAGTCTCTCATCTTACCCTGTGTTGCCTGTCCTTCTATAGCTGCAATGCTGGTAATTAAATGTGGTTCATTTTCCTGGAATTCACTGATATGTAGGTACAGCATTCATCTGGAATGGCATTTACCTTGGATCTTACGGCCTCTTCCACTCTTACTACTTGAGATAAACAGAGAAAGGATAAATAGACAAATAAAGATAGGTAATTCTGGCAAGTTCTGCCAAGAAAGAATCATCGACAACTTCAATATTTACTTCCTTCTTGAAAACTATTTCCCTTAAATAAATAGGTAGATAGATAGATAGATAGATAGACAGATAGATAGATAGATTGACAGATAAATAGGGGAGTGTGGTTTTGCAGGGATGTTCAGAGAACCAAGCTTGGCAGGCAGACTGGCGCTGCCTTGCAGGACGCAGAGTGCTGTGGTCATTTTTCTGTGCAGGCCGTGCCCAGCGGTGGGGCTGGCTGTGCTCCGTTCCCTCTGAGGCACCTCCACAGTGCACATTTAACCATCCTTCTGGGCACTCTGTTGTCATGCTCTTACTGTTTGAAATTTCTCTTAGTGATGAATGCATTTTGGAAATATATTTGTTCCTTTTTTTTTTTTTTTTTCAGTGCTCATGAATGAAATAGAGAACAGTGTATTTCCTTCCTCTTTTCAGCAATTTCTGCTGTATTTGACAACTTATTACATCTACCCACTGGTAACCCCGACTTCTCCCTTCATTCTGTGTAGGTCGTGGCTTCTGGACCTGGCACTGCTTTCATTGTTCTGTGGCTGGACAGCATATGTTTGGGAGCGCAGCGCCAAAAACTGGATGCTTTATTGTGTCTGAAATCTTCCCAGCACCAAGTGGGATTACTTCACATGTCTAACATATGACACTCCTGTTTATACGTCCCAGTTTGACATCTGCCCTTTTTGCAACAGCATGACACTGTTGACTCATGTACTGCTTCTGATTCACTGTAACCCCAGATGCTTTCTTGCAGAAATGCTTTGTAATCAGTTGTCCCCATCCTATATTTGAACAGCTGATTATGCATCAGTGACAACTTTGCACTGATTCATCTTGAATTGCATCCTATTTTTTCAGACTATTTCTGCAATTTGTCAGGATCATTCTGTATTACAATGCTGTCTTCAAAGGCTGTTGCCATTCCCCCTAGCAAGGTACCATCTGCAGATATCATGCAAAACATTCTCCGTTCCACCTTCTTAGAAGAACAGTAATAAAGATATTGAATATTGTTGGGCCCAGAATCCCCTCCAGACATTATTCTATGCCCACAGTGTAGGTGGTACCTCATGTAGGTGTAGTTTTGGAGGTCTTTCCCAGGCCCTAAAGTAATGTCACCTGAAGATGTTCCTCAGTTCACTTGTGAGTCTGTTAGATGAGATGGTGGCAGAAGCTTATGGAAGTCAAGATAGATGACTTCTCTGTCTGCATGGTCTGTCATGCTGTCATGGAATAAGTTTTGACATAATGTAACCTGAATAAATCCATGGTGGCCATCTCCAAGAACCTCATTCTAGGTCCCACGCTTTGCTCAGGTGTTTCTGCACGAACAGATGATCAGATGATGCAACTCCTGCCCTCCCATCTCAGACAGGCACCGTTTGCAAGGTTTGAGTTCTCCAGCAACC